CCCCCCTCGTATTCCTTTGTTGCACATGGATCAGTTCCATCCATGCATCTGCATCTGATTGATCATGGCCTGCATTTATCTTGTATTGTCTGTGTGCAGCAGAGTGGATTCTCTACCTCCATGTAAAATTCTCCAAACTTTCAGTCCTGATGAATTTCGCCCCCCCCCTCGTATTCCTTTGTTGTACATGGATCAGTTCCATCCATACATCTGCATGTGATTTATCATGGCCTGCATTTATCTTGTATTGTCTGTGTGCAGCGGAGTAGATTCTCCACCTTATTAGCATTCATCAGATGGCTTCTTGGGAAGTAAGAGGATAACGTTGAGCAGTAGTGTAAAACCAGACTGATTTTGCCTCCTGGAGTTTATATGTACCATTGTCATGCCTAACAACTTCAATGTCACCAAATACTGCAAATATGTTTATCTTTGCAGAAGGAAAACATTGTTTTTTGCTGTTTTTTCTGTTTTAAACACACAAGGTCAATGACCTGGTCCAGACGTCTGTCACCATGGTAACTGGTGCTGTAGCAGAAGGAAAACATTGTTTTTGCCCTGTTTCGTCTGTTCCGAACACACAAGGTCAATGACCTGGTCCAGACGTCTGTCACCATGGTAACTGGTGCTATAGCAGGCACCCTGTGGTGTTGGGTTACATTGTGAAGCAGAACAGAGTTGGAAATACATAATTATATGTCCGCGGTAGCAGCAAGTGCAGAAAAAATGAAGCCCACGAATTATTTGTTAACAGTAATGATAAATTCGCAGTTCAGACGTGGTCGTGAAAACGGCGAACATAAAAGTACCATCAAAAAATCATAAATTACAGTTACAATATAATCGGCTCATATTTCATATTTAGAGGTTGAAAAGTTGCATATTTATGTGTTATTACTACAAATGTTGAATTCATTCACTGCAACTCACTAAAACCAGAAGTTATAACATGAACTGAGCTTGTTGCAAAAGATGTCAGATTGATTTAAAGTTTATAGGTTTAAAGACTTGGGGGTTGAAAAGTTGCATATTTATGTATTATTACTACAGATATTGAATTTATTCACTGCACTAAAACCACATTTGATAGCATGAAGTGAGCTTGTTTCCGAAAATGTCAGCCTGATTTTAAGTTTATATCTTAAAAGTGCCTATAAAGTGATGCAGTATGTTATACGGTCAAAGAATGTATGTCTTGGGAGAGATACTGACTTTTGATATTTATTGTTACTAGATTTAAAGGTTTGAGAATGAATTATCTCACAGATTGCCCTTTGTTGTGCATTACTTACTCATTATTGTGTTTGGTAATTACATTTGTAGGCCATGTTGATTGGATTATATGGATGACATCCGCACACACATCAATTTTTATCTCTTCCCAAATAAAGGTTTTCGACAATACTGTAAAGCGTACAAAGCAGCTGCAAAATGAGCAAATA